AGTCCCGACGAGTCCAGATTACGGACTTTGTACTGTATTAAATATAATCAATATTATTAAATAATAAAGCATGGTAATACATATTTTTACTTTTTCTAGCTAATTTTACTTTTTTAAATTTTTTATAACAGGTGCATTTAACAAAAGAACAAATAAAAAAAAGGGGGGAATCTGTAAATTCAATCCAACACCTAGAAGAATTTAAAAAACTGAAATCTGTTTCTGCGCATATTTCAACTTAGCATTCGAAAGTATTTTAAGTCAAGCAGCTATAATAAGCCTACTACACAAAGAATTAATCCCCCAGAAATTAAAGCTAAAGAACAGAAATTCTTAGATTTAAAATAAACTGTTCAAAATGGCAGAATAAAATCGTAGGGAAAAAAAATTGGGTACTTCTTTATTATTGCAACCACCATTATTTAAAACAGCCAACATATGTCACAAAGCATTGACAATCCTAACCACTGTCACTGGTCCTAATAACTATGACTTCTTCTGACAAGCAGACTACTCAGAAGAAGAGTTGCGAGTAGGGTTACTGGTTTGGTGCTGTTCATTAACAAGAGGGATAACAGGCTCAAAGTTTAAGTTTAGAGAATGGATGGCAGAAGTACTTGAAATAGGAAAGTGTTTCTGACATTATATTAAAAGCTATCACAGAAATCTAATACCATAAAACACTTAATCAATAAAGAAAAGTTTTAATTGTTTAAGTGATTGCTATACATATATTTCACTGCAATGCTTGTACCCAAGGCTTGGGACAAGCTATTTAATTGACAACACTTTTTTTCCTCCCAGGGCACAAAATCTGCTTACTCAAAATAATAAACCCAATGTCTTCAATGGGTTTAAAAATAAAAAGTGAAAATAAAGAAATATAAACTCAATATGTTGATGCATTTTTACATATTTACCTGTAACATCAGGCTTTGCATCTTCCTCTTCCATTTTCATACACATTTCTAAAAATTATATAAAACTTCAAACTTCTTACATAAAATGAATGCATGTTAGACATAAACAATAAATAAATGTAATTAAGATTTTTGTAGAACTTTGGGACAACCATAATAAATCATTCACAATGATAATCTAATCTGAAGGGCCTCTAAAATGTCATTTTTCCAGCATGCTTCTTTTATGTGTTCATTTTTTGCTATAATGATAAATTAAAAAAAAAAAAAAAAAATCTGAAATGTTTCAGATTTTAAATTACGTCCAAAGGGGTGTTTTTTAACATTTTGTGTGTAACCTTCTTTATTAAAATCATGTTCCTCGCCTTAAACCATAAGATCCAGTGCAACAGCAATATCGCAAAATAGTTTTAAAACGAGCATATCTTTAGAATTTCCATACAGAGACTCACGCGCTGGAGATAAAAATGTTTTTTTCTGCACAACGTTGCCATTGCTCGCTTTGAAATCCTTAGTTTGTTAATAAAAAATTCGTCAAAGTTTTAAAAAATAGGAAATCGATCATAAAACAAATTTCAAATTTCAAATTTGGTCTTCCACATGCTCATATTCGTTGGAGGATTACGCTTATTCAAAATCGATGACTCTATGTACCGTTGTTTATGACAATACGAGAAATATACATACATTTAGCAGATTTTTCATTATTTAATTTCTTCAAATATAATGCAGGACTCTAACATTTTGTGGCAACAGTTTGAAAAGTGAACCGACATTTATGAGTCCGACACAAAATGCCAAAACGAAACTAATAGTCCTTCGGGATTCAAATCCCTTTGGACTAAAAAAAAAAAAAAAAAAAAAAAAAAACAGCAGATGGAATTACCAAGAAAAGGAAACTTTACTATTCATAGGCTTTGTAAAAATAATCAAGAAATGAAATTTTTTAATGAATGTACGTGGCATTGTGCAGGTAGATGACCCCTAAGAAAGAAATCTGACAAAACTGGTTTAATGTATAAAAAAAACTCCATTTTGGCAACATTGTTTTACTTACTATTCATCAGAAGAAATGATATCAATCAAAAGGTATGACAACTATAACCATATATTTGTAACAGTACAACTATTGAATGGAATATTTTTACGAAAAGTCTGCTCAAAATATCTGAGCTGAATAAGCGGGATCATAAAATTCTCGAAATCAATGACAATCTTTATATGCAGGAAAAATTGTGCCAGAAGGAGAATTTTACTTAAACAGTTTATATCTGAATGCATGCACCAAAAAACAAGAGAAAGCTTCTTGGTTGAACTTCCAAACAGAAATGGCTAAAAACTTTTGAAAAACTCTCTCTCTCATTTTTTTTTAACCATTTGGCATTCTATCTAACTTGAAATGCAGAAGTGTTGAGAAAATTGTTTCATAGCTATTTCTGTGGCAACTGCAAAACAATAAATGGAAAAATTTAGTCAATTTAGATTGTGGTTCTTTTGGTGAACTGGCTGCCTCAAAGATGCACAAGCACTAAAAGGAGGAATAAATAAATCAGTAATCATACAGTATACAATCTACCACTTTTAGTTCTTTATTTTTTAGATGGTGGCATTAAAATTGGCTCATTGTTTTTATTCTTTCTTATTTTTCTCCCTTCTACTGCACTGTATGTTCGAATTTAAAAGTAGGATTTTAGTGGTGACATTTAAGAAATAAACTAAAAGTGGTAGATCACATACTACATGATTACTAATAAATCTATTAACTTACAACTAAATATCAGATTTTAAAATTTCTCAAACTGTTCTAAAATTTAATTTCTTAACATGATAACAGTTCTTAACTTTTAAAGAAACTAATATATAATAAAAAATAACACTGGTTTTTGTTACTAAAAATTAAAGAAATTATACTTTTACAAGCTTATTAAATTTTCATTTCAAACTTTCAAGGTGAAAAAACTACCGACAGAGACAAGTGCAGTGAGGAAAAGTTGCAAAGAACTTTGAGCAGTTTCAAGAATATGTGAAACTGATCAAGAGGTAAGGGAGTGAGCCCTCAAAATCCTGTGGCGGGAGGATTGAGTTGGGCTTCTGTGGCAGTGTTGACGGATTGACAAAACAGATCCCAGAACTGGGCCGGGTTGGTTGTGCAAGTTGCGGTTCTTGACACAGTTTCTTCCGCTCTGAGATCACTGTAGCTGGTTGAGAATAGCTCAACGGACTTCAGCTGCTCTCACACGCCGGTTTGTTTCGGAAGAACAACTGTTTGGGACAATTTTTCTGCTTTGTCACAACAGCCAATCACTATAGATCGCTTTAGGGTTAACACAGAGGAAACTGGTTCCCCATTACAAACAAGCTGATAGCTGATTGGTTGAAAACAAACAACTTGCAATTTTTTTGGAAAGGAAGGAAAAAGTTGCACATCTTTCTTTGAATAGTAAACCGGGCAGGAAATTGTCCGAAACAGTTCTTTGCGTGAAATAAGCGCCGTGTGATATGGGCCTAAAAGGCATTAAAAATTAGTTGTTGTTTTAATCATTTCTTTTTTTCTGTCATTTTATTGCAAACCCAAATTAAAAAATAGCATTTTAGTGGTGCCATATAAGAAATAACTAATTAAAAGAGGTATATCAGATATTACATGTTAACTAATAAATCTATGAACTCACTAATATCAGATTTGAACTTTTTCAAATTGTTTTAAAATTCAATTTCTAAAAATAACTATTCTTTTAAAGAAACTTAAAATATAATAATTAAAAAAATACTGATTTTTGTTACTCAAAATTTAAAAAAATTATACTTTTATATGCTTATCAAATTTTAATTCAAACCTTTAAGGTGAAAATTACTGATATTTGCACTAATTAATGTGATTAACAGTGCAAAATTATATACGGGCTTATAATCTTCATTTCTTTTCAACACACATCTCTAATTTATATAATTACCAGTTTCAATATTTATATTTATTAAATATATATTTTTAATCTAGATAAATTTATAAATAATGATATATTACTTGCATATTCTTCATCACGCGCTTTCAAGACGTCCTCAGCCCGATTACAAAATACTCGTGCTTCAGGAAGAATATCATCCTCTTCAGAATCCATCTTATATTTGTAAAAGCCCACTTTACAAATTCTTTCTGAACTAAATACAAACCAATAAACATTAATCACAATGAACAAACTTTACATAAAAATCATAAAAGAGATCAAAAAAAATTCAAATTATATGATTTGGGCTATATTACAGTACTTTATACAGTAATCAGACAAGAAATGCCTTTCAGATAATCAATTTAAGTGATTACTTGTCATATACCCCCAAATTTGTATATTTTTGGGTACTTCTTTGTAATTGCAGCAGATTAGGTGGAATTCCACAGCCTAGCTCTGCAATTTTCTGACGAATCACCAAAGCAGCATGTGGCCTACCACTATTATAATGCAGTATGTGCATCTTAATGAACACTACAGGCTTCATTTCGACTGCTTTGTTTAAATTAAACAGGTGCAGTCCAACCTTTAGTTACCCGAGGGCCAATCAAGCATTGTTAGCATAGGAGAGTGAGGGCCAGAGAGTTTAAAGAAAGAAAATGAATTACATATAAATCACTAGTTTAATGTATCACTTTATTTTACAAGCTAGAAATCAATATGATGATTGGCACTGCTTTTTTGATACAAGTTTATCAATGTCCACTGTAATTTCAGTAAGGTAAAGTCTCGGGCTCGATTCCAGCAGCACTTTCAATACGATTTCTCATTTTTGATTGAATTTGTTTGAGAGCAGAAAAAGCGCGTTCACACACATATTTACTACCAAACAGTGATAAAATTTGCAAAGAGAGTTTATGCAGTTTGGGAAAACGTTCTTTAGAAATCACTTTCCAGAAATGTTCGGTGACATCACACTTTCTAGTCTGGTAGAATAGATCTGCCTGAAGACTACAAATTTCTATTTGAAGGTCGCAAGTGACCTCACATACTTCAATTTCCATGGGGTTGTTTAACAATGAAAGTTTTGTTTTTAGGGAATCAAAATCCTGGAATCTGTCCTGGAATGTTTTCTTGCTATCAGTAATTATTTCATGAAACATTAAAATTTGTGTCATTTTCTTCTTTCAGCTGCTGACAAAATGTGAAGTGTGGCATATTTTTTGCCTTCAGTGCAATTTGCATTACATTAAATTTTTACAAAAGCCTTCAATATGTCCATAAAGCTGGAATATATTTTATTTTCTGCCTTGTAGCTTCAAGTTTAAAGCATTTAGATGGGTTGTTAAATCTGTCAGAAAAACAAGATTATTTAAAACTGGATTTCTTCCAATTTTTCTTGATACTCATGCCCAATGTTTTCTTTTTTGAGGAAAGCAAGAACTTTATTCCTCAACCCAAAAAACTGTTGCTGACAATTTCCAGCACTTAGCCACCGCACTTATAGCTTATATACTGAAATGTCACTATATTCAGCATCCAAATTGTCCACAAATGCAATAAATGTTATGTGCCCCTGGGTTTTGCCTCCTCTTATTAAAATTACAACAGTTTTCATTGTCTGAGCCTTATAATTTTTATTATTTCACTATTACATTTAATATAATTATTTATATTATATAAAGCAGTAAGAAGGGTCTTTTGTTTTTTCAAAAGTTTAACTAATGTTTTTTTTCAAATGTTTCAAATGTTTTTTTTTTCCATTAAAGAAAGACAAGTGCCATCAAAATGAATAAGTGGGCAGCATGTTGGATCACGCTGGTTTAAATCATTCGTTTGTTGCTAATATCTCTTTGAATTCAGCTTTTTGTTAGGTTTCAAAAGCTTGTAATGTACTGGTCCTTTGATGTCCAACCACATACAGAGCCTGAAACTTAGCGGCAGAAGGAGCACATTGTCCAGGCTCAGTAAATTCTTTACCTAATGAAGTTTACGTAGGTAAACCACTTTTTATCACCAGTTATTATCCAGTCAAAAAAGGGTTCATTCTTGTTCCAAATGTTGTCAAAAAAAGATCTTGCTCTATCATGGTCTTGATAATATTGTCATCGATCAAAGATGCCCAGAATGTCCCTTATTTTTCAAGGTCAAATTCTGTTTCAAATTTTTCAAACCATCTCCTGCACTTTCAATCCACAACAAAATCTCTACAAAAAACTGTCACTAAATTTCAACATGCTTTTGTAGTCATTGCTAAATAATAAAACTACATTTGTTCATTATCTTTATGCAGAGAAAGCCTCAGTTACACGTTATCAAAGAATACAGGCTGGCGCTAAGGCTGCGAGTGTGCATACAATGTTACTGGTGTAATGATGATAGTTTGTACCATGGCACGATAAGATTAAACCTCTCATCTGATTACCATAATGGCCTTATCTGAATCTAGTTGCAATGTAGTGACAAACTATGTGGTCCTATATTATGCATTATAACATAGGACTTTTTATTAATTAATTTTACTTATTTATAATTCAATTATGCATTATAACATAAGACTGGCATCACAGCCATTGGATTAATATTTCACTTAAGCCAAGCACAGTACTGCTAGAAATTTTTTAGCTATAGTAGCAGGAGAATTGAAAAGTAGTATGTGATGTCAGAGATCATGCGATTTCTTATGACAACACTGGTATGTCAGCTCACATGATCACTGACGCTTTGTAGGTTCTGTAACTTAGCCTATAATTCGATTCTCAGTCATTTCATTAGCCATATTAATTTTGATGAAAATCTAAAACAACATAGCTAATCCTTCATTCTTTAAACCTCAAGTTCTTCTTTTGATCAATTATCAGTTAATTAGGGTTACTTTTTCAGTTAATTAAGAAAATTCTTAGACTTGGGAAATGTAATGAAAAGAAACCTTTAGAGAGAGCAAACTTTTTAGTACCTAGGGAGGTGCTGGGTGACAGAATTTAGGACCCACTCAGACTGCACTGCAAGCAAAATGTTTAGTACCAGCCCAGCCTGTTTTTCACCTACTAGAAATAACTGGAATTACCTATGTGTGACCATATATGGCACACACTATACAAAAATTCCCAAATTTCTCATTTTCTATGGTATGTGTATTCATCAGTGCTTTTGTTTAACCCTCTGAGTGGCAGTCACATATTAGCTCATAATTTAAGATATTTTGCTTTTTTACATTCTTCAACAATGTAAATGTCATCTTAAAGAACAAAAGTTTATGAAAATAGAAATTGAAGTATGTAATTACGCAAATTTAGCTAATAAATACTATTTAAATACAGGTATTCATGACAGATCCAAAATCCTGTGCTGCTCAGTCATTTAAGATCCCAAATTCTGAATCTTCAGTCCCTGATCGTATTCTGATTGATATTTACCACAGATTAACCACAGCTGTAATAGATAAATTTCAGCAATGGATCAAAATACACAGAGTGGCATAATTCAAGCACACAACTACCAACATTTCCTCTCTACCAGATTATGCATTAGTAAATGTTGTCACTCCTCAAAGACAGAAAAGATGCCAATTTCTTAATGTTCTGAAAATCAAAAAGCTTTTGCAATAATTTTACTCCTGTAATTATATTAACTATATAGTAAATATGGCTTTCATAGTTCTCATCTTTTATAATATTAGAATTCTACAGATTAGAAATGCAAGCATACTAAATTCATATAAGATTTAGAAACAAACAGGAATATAATCAAAGTTCTTTCTTTCCTTTTAAATACTAACTTTTGAACTGACTTGTAATAAATAGAGTTTAATAATAAAAATTGAACCAATATGTATTTATAAACAAACTGAAGAAATTTTCAGGTAAAAAATGAATAAAAAGGATAATGAATGTCTAGATCAGTTGTAGTCAAGCTTTTTGGCAATATGAACCCTACTTTAGACTGGGATAGGACACTCCACTCCAGGAGCCCATTGAAAAGGAACGTTTTGTTCAGGGATGCCACATAGCCAGCCTATTTACCTAGGTTTGAACTATCAATGAGTGCAAATGATGGCAAGGAACATGTCTAAGGACAGAGGTGCTTTCGTGAAGGACTTTTTAAAGAAAACTGGGATCATATTCACATAACACCTGGAAGCAGCCAATTCAAATATTTTGATTTGAATCTGGGTCGAACTACCAGTGCTCAGAAGTTTCATTGTTCAGCTGCTGGTATATGACAATTGAAATGAGGACTTCAGAATAAAATAATAGTTAAGGTTAATATAGTAAGAAAATGAAATTTGATATCTTGTGGGCATAACAATCAATTTGCAATTACTTTCTCAATACCGTTTGAAAATTGTATGCATTAAAAAACAGTCATTATTTATTTTGATTTTTGGATAAATGAGCATTAAAAACAGCAATTACTTAATTTCATTTATTAAAGTTAAGAAAGTATAGGTCTACACATAAAAACTGAATTTATTATGACTGACTGTAAATGCTATAGACAAAATTATACAGTAAAAATATATTTTAAAACGTTAAAAAATTTATTCTTTGCATCCTTCTCGATTTAGGTCTGTTTCCGCGATTCCTGTTTGCGCATTTTTAAACAATCTTCCTGTTTGTGCGAAATCGGGGAGTACAGTCCCCCTTCCAAAGTTCCTCAGGAGATGTCAGGATGAGTCATTAAGAAGAGCTGGGCAGTTCCTTTGTGAATAAGTTAGTCATCGTCTTGACATTGTTAGGCAGAAGATGTGTCTTAGTTTAGGCTCCTCTCGAAATCTTTAGTTTCATTCCACTTTAAAATCTTTAGTAATAGCTGTTATTTTTCGTATCTAAATCAGTATGGATGTTTTAGAGATTATTGAAACTAAAAGGAAAAAGCCTTTAGCCCTTTACAAAGGTTATCAATATCGAATTTGGAATAGAAATAAAGAAAATGTAGTTTATTGGATTTGCATAAATGAAAAAACTAAAAGCTGCAAAGGCTCAATTAAGACCAAGGAAGAAGTTGTTTTAGAAGAAAAAATTCATTTATGTCACCCTGATACAGCATATTCTTTAGTAAAAAAAAACAAATATTTGTAGCAAAAATGAGAGCGAAAGAAGAAAATGTTTCACTTTCTCAAATTTACAATGAAGAAGTTGGAAAACTATACAAGTCAAGGCCTTTTGGACACATTAACGAATATTCCGCAGTTTTCAAGTGTTAAAACAG